GGTGCGTCGACGCGGTGCCGAAATCATTAATCTTTTCGGGACGAAAACGCGAATAATGCATCTACGAAGGACAAGCGTGTTTATAAAATTTACGAGTTTAGTTTGTGGGCGGTTCGCTAAAATCGAAGAACTTCATCGATATGTAATAACAATAGATGATTGCAGCTCGTAACGGAGAGTAACGATGCGAAATTGGCTCGGAAATGATGCGCCAGACAATCCTTTCGCGTTAAGGAGAGACGCGTTCGTCTTAATTGAAGACACCTTCGCGCGCGAAACACACGAGGAAGACAAAGCGTCTTCCGGGCGAGCGACCATTTGCGCGACGACTGTCGTCTCTTCGGATCGTAAAACGTCACGCTGCTAATTTGTGGACAGTCCCACGCTAATTGTATGTATGAGAAAATAATGACGTAGGAAAAAGGAAGGGGGGGGAGAGAGAGAGAGACAACCCGAGCCCATGTTCGACTTGGGATGACTCAGAGCGACATGAAAATGAGATGAACGCCATTCGGAAAGGAGAATCGGTCGAGTCCGCCCCTTTTTTGTTCTGCGAGGACCACCCACGCACTTTTATCTGCGAAACGCTATTATTGCTAATGCCTTATTCATCCGCGGAAGTGACTGCGCAGGCTACGCGTTTTCTGCTCCTTTGTATAATAACAATAACCGTGGGCGTTATGCATTCAGATATATTATAATTCTTAAAACGTTTGTGGATCGTTTACTTAAACATTTTTAAATATCTTGACCTTACTTATATATTTAAAAATCTTTTACTCAAACGTTGTTTCAGTTAATCATTCTTTGCGCGCTTTATCGTTGCAGTGATTTTATATGAGAGTTTTTAGGTAAATACGCGAATTCTTCGTCGCGCGGCGAATTTGTTAAAGAAAAAACACAAACGATTTTTTTATGAATGATTGCAAATCGAAACGCGAATCGATCCCTTTTCGTTTAGTAACACCGTGACCGCAGCTCGTCGACGTGATACAGATTGACGCGTTGGTATTATGCACGAAATTCGCCCGTCTAGTTCACGTCTATTCGCGATGCATATGTAAAATATAATCGGCAACAATAACGCGGGTGGCGTAAATTAGGTCTCGAGTGTTAGTTCATAGACTCCGGCCTGCAAATATGCTCGCACGAACCCGAATTACAATAGAAATACATTTCGCGATGCTGCAAGCTGCTCCCGGCAGATTCTTGGGTTACACGCTCCAATTTTGAACACAGAAAAAACCAAATTCTGCTACTCCCGTATCCATATTGCGGCAGCATATCGAAAATCTGCACTACGGCAAATATGCTCGCGCTCGTCGGGATACTATCTTTATCTTGATATTCATAATATTCATATTTGCCGCAGACTCGAAATTACCGAATTCGAAATATCAAACTCAATGAATGTTTAATATTGGAATATCATGATTATATACCTATATTGTGGAGAATATGTCTCTCGTATTCTAAACACATTAACAGCTAATTAATAGTCAGGGATTGTTATATATTCGAGTTATTTCATTTGCGGTATTTGGCCTATCTGTCCCATACATAGATAATTCTAATTACATAGAGATAGACAAAGTGATTCAGATTTATCCAATATTATAAATAGAAAATAAAACGATACCGCTGCTTCATGCTTGACATATTTGCCGTAAGCTGCTTTCAAATTGACGCCGCAACATTTTTATTCTTACTGACTATATACATATAGAATATCGATCCCGAAACCATACACGAGTTGTGAATTTCGCGTCGGACTTCTTACTCACGCAGGATTATAATGTATAATTCAGGTAGGTGCGGTTCGGCACGTTCAAAAGTTGCTACGCGGCGAGCTAATATCGAGTTTCGAACTATCCACGGTTCCCCCTCTGCTTCCCTAACCGCCGCGCAGCGCTCTTATTAAATTTGTTTCAATTCGCTCGCCTTACTTATTGCATTTCTAACGGGCACGGCGCGTCAAACTCGCTGATCGATAGCCTCACACTTTACTGACTGATATGTGCGGCACCGGAAATACAGATTTTTCGCGTTCCTGAAATTTCGTATTTCGTGCATAAAATCGCAACTCTAAAGTTACGTCGATTTTATGCGGAAAATTTAAAGCGCGATTCGTCACTCCCCCGCGCATCTCCGCGAATGCGACGGTTAGATGAGGCTTATGAGCGACGCGAGAAGTTACAACGTCTTCGGGAACACGTTGACGAGGGCGGTAACATGGAAATCTCGTTCCTCTCGGCCGAGCACTTATTCTCGGATTACCATTTAAATTCTTTCGCGACCCCGCGCGAAGTCGCACGCGAAGGGGAACGGCCGGCGACCCCTTCGCGCACTAATTTGTCACGACGCGAATTCAAGGATACTCCGCATCCAGTACCGCACTCCGGCAAGCCAACTAAACTTGTAATCCCCGTCGAGGACAGTGATTTCGACAAGGCAGAAACTTTTTTCGCGGGATTTCTAGCGAGTTCGCCCTAAACGTTCTTGAATTGTTACTATTTTTCCTCTCCACTTCATGCTTCTCCTCCTTTCTTCCTTGACGGTCGTATTTACCGCGAAATTGTAATTAATACTTTGCGATATTCTGACCTTTTAAAAAGTAAAACTAGTTACTAATGAGAGTCTAGACGCGTCTTTAAATTAACCATTTCAATTTAATTTTACATCATGTTTCTAAATAACGTTCCTCTTGCGTTTTACATTATGATAATAATTTAGACTGTTTCATCTGATTTCAATGAGTTAAAAATAGCCGCGCAAATTTCGTGAAATTATAAATGCGAGAAAGTGACGAGGTATCGTTCGACTTGTACCATCATTAATTCAAGCAAGCTTTTCTATTTTGGACATTCACGACCAAATGCTCGGGACTCTTGTAAATAAGAAAGGACGTATCGTTCGTTAAGATGAACCTGGTAGAATTATTTCTTGTCCAGAGTGACAAAAGGTCAAGTAGTCGCGTCCCACACTAAGATGACTGAGCTTAACGAAGATACAACTGAGAACACCGAGTATATACTCTCTTGCTCAACGTAAGAAGATTTTAAAACCAAAAATCCACTCCGGGAAAACTATCACATCGCTAATTAAGTAACCGCGTTTAGCATTATAATGCCGCAATAAAGAAAGAACAATATATCCGAAATAGAAAATGTTCTGTATAATTTAACAGATACTATATATATATAATTAACGTAGAATATATTCCAGGAAGCAAACTGACGTTATTTGTCATTATTTTAATGTCAAAATGACGTTTTTGATAACATTTTGATGTCAAAATGGGATTATATGACATATATTGTTAGTCGCTCTCTTTACTCGAATAAATTCATGATCAGACTTATACTTTTATCAAGAAGGGATCGATACGTTGATCTACGACCGGTCGACGATCTATATATTTCAGGATTTGGAAAGCTCATCCGCTATTTTTTGAAAGGCTTTAGCACGAGCGAACATCGGATTCCACTTCGGCAGCTAAGGATTGATACGTTGCGCCCGCTCGCTCATGCGAGAGAGATGACAATGTGATATTCCACGTGTCAGCGATCCGACTGTGCGATCCGTCACGCGGACGAGTATGTACGCGAGGCGAGGTTCTTCATCGTCCTCATCTCGTGAATCGAGAATCGGATGAAAGAAAACCGGGTCGCTGTTACGCGCGAACACTTCCCCCGAGAAACGCGACGAGAGAAAGGGCGGAGTGTGTATAGAGCTCGAGGGCGCGGTGGCGAGGCGCAGGAAGACAGGGGGGAGGGATAGTGAAACACGGATTCGCGAATGCAACCCGTTACTCTTTCTGGTCGACGGTTTTTTTTTTTTTTTTTTAATTTCCATCCGGCGCGGAAACGCCGCGCGGAAATTATTCTCGGGAGAGAGACAGAAATAGGGGCTTAAGTATCGTTCGCAGAGGTGATCTGTTTGACAGAAAAATTTGGCAGCCCCCATAAATCCGAAAGGGTTCTCGAATCTCGTGCAAATGTAGAGAGTGGCTCGACCGTTAGCGTGAATCTTTATTCTCTGTTTTTTTTATAGGTATTTTGTATAACATCCTGTTGCGCGTCGCGTTGCACGATTACACTGTGAACGAATCCTCAGAAATCTACATGTTTAATCGTCGACCGCGTGAATCGCGGTAATTGCTTAATCTGGTAACATTTGGTGAAATCCGACAACAGAATTTCGCGTTGTTTTTTTTTCCCCCATTTGTCCTCTTTTTTGCACGCAATATAAATGCTGAAAAATACATTACATTAAATCGTGTAATCAAGCTTGAATGAAAAAGCATTTCATTGTTGGCCGGTATAATTATGCCGGGGATATGCATATTTATGAGAAAAACAGTGAGGCAGATATTTCGTCGAATATTCTATTTTCATAGCATTAACGGACAAATGTTTGATGATAATTTCGTGACGCATTCGTAATAACGCGGCAAATGTATTAAAAAAGAGATCTTCTCTCCCGGAACGGGTGAGGGAATAAATTTTTTATCGTTTTATGACTTTGGGCATATACCAGATGGCCGCGCGCGCGCGCCACTTCTGTTAGAATTATTTGACGTAATATTTAGTAGCTCGCGAATTTTAATAGTAACGTAAAATGTCACAATGTAATCTACAACACACAGTGCACGATGTTTTAATAAGCTGCGGCAGCGCAAAGAGAGCTAAGCAAATCCATACGTAATAATTTTCCCGAAAAATAGAAACATCCATCGCGATATGGAAAAACAGAAATAACGAGTGCCGGAGACAATAGAGATTGAGAGTTCTCTCCCCACGCGGGGGTGGAGGAGAAGAACGAAAGGAGCCATCCTTCTCAAGCCCTTTCTCCCACCCCTCTCTCCCTTCCGTAGTCAGTGGAATATCGTAGATACACCTCTATTCTGTTTTCCCCCGGAAAATCAATATCGGAGGTCGGCAGCGCCTCTCAGGGGTGAGGTGGCTCTCGCCGGAGACAAATCTCAGTGTCCGGAAAATCTCCGCCGACTGGCCGCGGAGCAACCCCCGTTAAAATTTACGCGCCCCGCCGTTTCGCGCTGCGCCGTTTCCACGTCACGTTTTTTCCGTCGCGAGGCCGAGCGAGGGGTCCGCGCGAGCGGCCCCGCTAGAGAGGAGAGGCCTTCGCCGCCGCGGTCCCGGGGCCGAGGGTGCCGCCGAAAGGGGCGAAAAGGTGTCGAGCCGAGTCCGGTGCAGCAGAGAGGAAGGGAGCTAACCTCCCTGACGAGACCTCGTGCGAGAACTTGGAGCACGCTGCGCGTGTGTATGTGACCGCGTCCCCGCTCTTGCGCCTGCTCGCCATATTCGAGGAAAGCCGGGGCGCCACGATCGTAAATACCGACGCGCGCCACTTTCGACATCGCCGCCACCTCGAATTCCACGCTACTCGCTTTCGCTGCTATCCCCTGCATCCTCTAGAATTTGTAGAGAAATCATTCCCCCGTAGATAAATGGATGGTTGTGTAAGCAAGATCGATGTTGAGGAACACAAACATCCGTTACTTATTCGTCCCTCGCGGCGACAGGATCTAGTAGTTAGGCCCTACGCTCGCGAAGGCCGCAGTGGAAAAGTCCAGCATATGGTCGGACGCGTCGATAGTCGACGGGTGCGAGGGTCGCAGTGAAAAAATCCAGCGTATGGTCAGACCCGTCGATGATCGAGTACGGATGTTTGTGCTCGCAATGCCCTGTGCCCTGCGTCTTTCGCCTCTTGCACGATTTCGCTTCAAACATATCGCACGGCTGTCACGCATCGGCTAATACACCCACCGCGGCTTTGCGGTATATAATTCACGTCACGTGCCCGCCGCGAAGCTCGTTTCTGCATGATGAGACAACGCGGTCCACGTTAGACGTCCGTGACTCCGCCGTACCTCTCTCACAGTCTCCCAGAGCGTACCTCCCAGGAAATATTAACTTTAAATTATGTTTCTGTTGACTGAGCAACGTGACCTGCTCGAGAATTTTCGTGTGCCCCCCGCGTTTACTTCAAGCGCGCGGTAGCCAGGTCTGACATACACGGGAACGCGGTTTCCCCTTTGCGGCTCCGATTACCTCGGCTTTTCTTTGCTCACCTTCTTTGCGTCTGCATCCGCGTGCATTTGGATTCAGGTTACTCTCCTTTACACACAGAGAAAATGTAGTGAAGACTATAACGCAGTTTTTCTGGAATTTACTAACGTTATGTGACGGAAATCTGCAATATTTTTAGTCAAAGCACGTTATATAATTCATAAAAGAATTATTGCAATTATTTGAATATTTTTACATACATTTTAAAATGAAAATTTCACAAAAAGAGAAAGAAACTTTATAATCTGAGCGTAAATACTTTTATGCAAATTGTAAATTTATTGCGTTTGTAGTAAAAATTATAATATTAATATAATTTTTCAAACATAAAAAAATTGACTTTAACGCATACGCGTTGTACATTATAAATTTTTTATATCCGCAACACGTATTACTTTTTTTAATACAATATCATTTTTATTACTATGATGATAAAAATATAAAATTAATTGTTGATTTTTTAAATAAGTAATACTTAACGTCGTTATGCTTCAGCTTTATGGTAAAATTACAAAAAGGAATACGTCTCTTTTATATATAGTTCATACTGCAATCTTTTTTCCGAGTCTCTGTCGCGAAAGAAAAAACGGATTAATCTTTAACGTAGACAATAAAGCTTGGAAATTTATTAATATACAATTATCTTCTGTACTTCATTATTTTTTTTGTACACGTTGTATAAAAGTCGCGGATCCTCGATAACACGAATTCGGAGAGACATATCTTTAGTGATGAATGCTTATCGTCTTGTACACTCTAATCGATTTTCAGATGTATCAGATGTACCTCAGAATTACCTAGAGGTAATTGGATTGCGCAAATTTGCATTTTCAACGGTGGCAATCACGTGCTGATGTACCGCTGATGTTTCATAAAATATGAAAATCGTAAACGGAACAATGTCAATAATTTATGACGCCCTATCTATTGGTTTATGCAGACCTAATTTAATTAACAAAATAATTGTGGTAATTAGCGACGCGATGAATAATAATGCGCACGTTGAAGAAAAATGTCAATGAATTATGGACATTTATTTTTGTCGTTTTGCGCGAAATGTTTCAAAACTCCACCGACATTACCTCCGGAATAATTTTAGAGGTAAAAACAAATTATTTTTCATATTGCTGCTATTTGTGTCGTTGATTTATTACTATACATTTTATTAACATTGTGCTGTCTGCACGCAAATGTAGATACAATGCAATTGTCAATACGCCAACAAAATTCTACAACTTTATTAGAGATGTTTTATATAAACCAAATTATATTTTGATACAAAGTGTCACAAAGAAAATAATTATTCCTGCATCATGAAAATGTCTATAGCGACTGGATTAACGGTAATACTTCTTTTAAAATAGAAATGAGATTTTTCGTTCCCTGTATAAACGGGGGACGTTCGACAATCAATATTTCACGAATAATTAAATGAAAGCTCCAAGCAAACCCCAGCATTTCGTTGACCGATTTTTCTCGCTCGCAAGCAGAGGATATCAGCCGTCACGTCGCAATCCGGATTTTCTACGTTTAAATGCTTAATACTATTTTCAAATATAATCCTTTGCATATCAGCCTGCGGAAGCCATCCACCATAACTGAGAGAACGCTGATAGCTGGTAATCTGGAAGTCTGCGATAATTTAATTTTTGATAAAATACCACAAAATCCTCGATATAGTCTTTATTTGACAGTCGATAATATGTTTTTATTATCCTATCGAATTCTCCACTTTTTTAAAAATATGTTTTCGATTTAACGGAAAAAAGATTTCCGTTATAATCACATTATAAACTAAATATCAGGTAATTAATTAAAGATTACAAACTAAATACGGATGTCTTTTTGAGTATTAATAGAAATATCGTTAATGGATCTCAGCGGAGCATAATCCCCATTATTTTACAAGCGTGCTGATTTCAGAATAAATCTGACGAAGGCGCCGCGCCGCGCGCGCATTTTCCGATCGTTAAGACAAATAAAAATTTCGAGCGAGAGATACGCGTCGATGAGCGGAGCAGAGCAAATATTAATTACGGATGATAATGAAATATCGAACGAAATAAAACTGGGCCGCGCTGCGAAAGAAAACTGCTTTTAATCGAACCGCCGGATGTAGCGCGCGTTAACCTTAATTAAATAATTGAACAAATCTCCAGCGTAGATCATAGTTTCATTAAGTTTGCAGAATAATTCAATTATGCGGTATACCGTATTCATATAATGAGAGGTAGGGGAATAAAAGTTACATGAGATTTTTTTTTAACGAAAGAAATAAAAACAGATATAAAAGGACATTGCATGAAATCGCGTACAAGTAAAAAAACGCAGAAATAAAAAATAGTGAAAATTAAATCCGCGCGTTTTTCTCTTTAACTGCTAAATCGTAAAAAAAAAAAAACGTTTTATAATACAATATTTGTTTGATATACACAGCGGCATACTAAAATTCTTTACAACACTTTAATTAATACTTCTCGCGTAATGCTTTTAATTGATGTTTGTCGCAATAATTCTGGAAATTCTACTTTCAGTCTTTTATTCACTTAGATTAATGCGTTGCCAATAAAGTTGATGCATCGACTTTTTCTGAATCCAGAAAAATTTTAATTCGCAATTTCAATTCAGCGAGAGAATTCTAATGAGCAAAAGCGATCCACCGTCATCTCGTCCTCGGCAGGCAGGCAGACAGGCAAGTAGGCAGTCGGTTTTCGCGAACACGTGCGAGTGGTCAAAGCTTTGAGATCTGTTTGAAAGCGTGTGGGAAAGCTCTTACCCAAATACGCGGTGTTCCTAATGAGCCGGCCGAGCTGCACGGCTGAAAGCTCCCGTGCGATACGAACGGCGGAGTCGCACGTCGCAGTAGTGGCAAAGGAGAAAGAGAGAGAGCGGATCTTTATCGCGAAATAATTCACGCGTTTTCACGCCTGACATAATCGCACGGAAATCCCGACGAGCGAGTTACGAGCTGCGCGATATTTAACGAGGCACGGTCTGTCCGTAAACTTTTCTCGGAACGATCTTTCTCGAAGGCGCTAAATTACAAGTTGAAGTACAATAACATGGAAGGAGCCAAGTATTTCGCACATTGTATGTAATATTATAAAATTTTGAAGTAATCGGAATTATTAGTGTCCTGCGAAGATAAACTTAATCATGATTTAACATAATAATGAACAGGCGATCTCTCCTCGACTAATCGGTTTATGCACTAGACTTAGTTTATATTTATGAGATATACTGCTGCTTGATAAGTGTTGCGAATGCTGCATTTTATATATATATATATATATATATATATATATATATATATATTTGCAATTATAAATTTATGAAAACACTAATACAATGTTATAATTGAACAGTCAATTCCTAGGTGACTACTAATGTAAAATAGATATCGAAATCGCATCATCGTTAAATGAGAGCGAGCAACGCGGTGAATCATCCGCGGGTGCATCCGTTATTACGCCGAGGAGCATCGCACTTGCACATCATTGTAACGTTTACAAACATGCAGATGCGGAATGAGTTTCCGATCGATCGCGCGCGGTTCGCGCGAGACCGCGGATATACCGATAAATCGCGCTCGCGCGATTCTTTTCCGAACGATCCGCACACGATCCGCACGCGGGCCGCAGCCGGAAAATGAGAAACTGCAATGGGAACTGGGTGGAAACAACCCCGGGGCCCCCGTGAACGTATACGTGTGTATACACATGAGCCGTAAATAAACGAGCACACCCGATATAACCGGGAAACGTTTATGGCGCCCGCATACATGGTGTATGGAGCCTTTATGCACGCCCCGGCCTAGACACAAACTACTTTAAAGTTGCATGAGCCGAGATCTAAGAGTACGAGCTGCATCTCTGCCTCGCCAATCTCTCTCCGGTATTATATTTTGTACCACTGCAGAGATAAAGAAGAGAAAGAGAGAGAGTGAAAGGAGAAAGAGAGGAGACAGAGAGGTTTATGTAGCGCTCTGAGATAATACTTCTATCTAGAAATAATAGAAATAATTAGAGAAAGTAATGAATATTGCGAGGTAGTGTATTAAGAAGAAACTGTGAGGGAAATATTAAATAATTAAAAATATGCTAAGCAAATGAATTAAGAAGCTTAAATTGAGATATCATTTCTGACTTGATCAGTTATTGCACGAAAATACAATAACAATAAACATTTAAGCTACGTTTAGATAAAAATTAACATAATAAGATAATTATCGTTACTTTTTATTAAAGACGCTAGGAAA